GGGGTCTGACAGGCCCGTCCCCTTCCCCTGTGCCTCTGCAGGTGGCGGACGAGCTGGTGAAGGTGCAGGTGGCGCTGAGCAGCATCGCCGGCAAGAGGGAGAGGATCAAAATCCTGTTTAAGAAAAGTGAGCGGCCTCGGGGGGGGTGGGAAGGGCGGAACCCCTGTGTGGCGTTGCCTCCTTGAAACAAAAATCCCTCCCCCACTCACTGTGTGAGCCCCTTTGATTCTGGGCTCTTGTTTTGCGTATTTCACAGAATCACAGAATGGTCGGGGTTGGAAGGGACCTCTGTGGGTCACCCAGTCCAACCCCCCTGCTGAAGCAGGGTCACCTAGACCAGGCTGCACAGGACCTTGTCCAGGCAGGTCTTGAATATCTCCAGAGAAGGAGACTCACAACCTCCCTGGGCAGCCTGTTCCAGTGCTCTGTCACCCTCAGAGGGAAGAAGTTCTTCCTCACGTTCAGACGGAACTTCCTCTGCTTCAGTTTGTGCCCATTGCCCCTTGTCCTGTCGCTGGGCACCACTGAAAAGAGTTTGGCCCCATCCTCCTGACACCCACCCTGCAGATATTTATAAGCATTTATGAGGTCCCCTCTCAGCCTTCTCTTCTTCAGGCTGAACAAGCCCAGCTCCCTCAGCCTTTCCTCATAGGAGAGATGCTCCAGTCCCCTTATCATCCTCGTAGCCCTCCGCTGGACTCTCTCCAGTAGCTCCTCATCTTTCTTGAAGTGGGGAGCCCAGAACTGGACACAGTACTTCAGATGGGGCCTCACTAGGGCAGAGCAGAGGGGGAGAAATACATAGCTGGAAATTTGACAGAGAAATACATAAGTGAGTGGGATCTTTTCTTCCACTCAGCTCCTGGGGATGGGATATGGGCTGCTGCAAGCTGTTATTTGTGTGGTTTCTGCCTGTATCGGTGCAGCGATCTGCGCCACATGAAACAGAGCCCTTGAGGGCTTTTGGAGCGTGAGATCCTGAAATGGCTTCCTGCACGCTTGGACCTCTCGGGCACTGTAGAGCAGCTCTCTCCTGTGCATGTGGTGGGAGCAGTAAGGATTACAGGCAGCCACTGGTGGTGGATCTGGGGAGCTGCCTCTGAACTGAGGGGTGTCAGGAGTGGACACCAGAGCGGTGCTTTGTCCTGCCAAGCTGCAGCTTGTCCAGGTTTTGCTGTCTGGTATCGCAGAAGGAGCAGTCTGTGTAGACAGGGTTGTTGTGGTCCAAGGCTGCGGTGGCCATTCAGTATAAAAATGTAAACCGCTTATTTGTAGATTATTTTAAGGATGGAGGACTATTGGCTGGTTTTGTTTCAAGGGCAGGAAGAAGCTTCACTCACCTTTAATACCATTATCAAAATAATGATAACAAAATTTTTAGTAGTGCCTGTAGCAGTAGGGCAAGGGGTAATCGCTTTTTTTTTGTAGATTAATATTGGATATAAGAAGGAAATTCTTCACTGTGAGGGTGATGAGGCACTGGCACAGGCTGCCCAGAGAAGCTGTGGATGCCCTCCCCATCCCAAAACATTTGAGGTCAGGTTGGACCAGGGCTCTGAGTGACCTGATCTAGTTGAGGATGCTCCTGCTTACTGCAGGGGGTTGGACTAAATGACGTTTAAAGGTCCCTCCCAACCCAAACCATTCGATGATTCTGTGAAATAAGAAGCAAGTGTTGTGGGTGTCTGTAACGAAGCAGTTACTTGGCTTGAGTCATTTGTCAGTTCTTGGTTACGGTGCTCCAAAGTCACAGTTTCTCAAGTGCTGTAGAAATTCATGAATCTGAGAGGATAAAAAAAAAGGACCCTAAGTTGGCAGTGTTTACAACGTAACCTGATGTATAGCATGGGGGAAGCTTGTGCTTGTAAAGGCAATAACCTCTGCTACTTTTTGTCTCCACACCTATTTTTCACTCTAGTTGAAGATGTCATAAAATACCTCGACCCTCAGTACATTGATAGGATGGCTGTTCCGGACGCAATGAAGCTGCAGTTCATCTTGGCAGGTATGGTATGAAATGAGAGGAGATGTTTGGGCTTTTTTGTTTTTTAGCACTGCAAAAGTTGTCTTTTTCCCCAGGATGGACTGGGGTGGATTTCTTTTCTTTAGTTGTAAAGACCTGGCAAGGCACCCTCTTTAGAGCTGTCAGAGAGATGGTTTGCACAAGGATGTCTGTCGCCCTGAGTGCTCCCTTGTGCGTGTCCATGCTGCAGTTGTGTCAGTTCTGATCTACTTAGTATTGATCATTTTAAGCCTGAATTAATAAAAGGTTAAAAAGAAAAACTGGAGTTAGAACAGCTTTTGTCACTCCACTTCCAATACTCTTTTAGGCTGTGATGAAAGTGGAAGACCTTTGGATGTATTTTGAACACTTTCTACTCTTGTCCTCTTTTGCCCCAAGGAATTTGGTTCAGCCTTGTTTTGGTATAGTCTACGAATGAAACTTGGTGGAGATTTTCCTTGCCTTCAGTTAGTGTGAACTTAATTTTCCTTGCCTTAAGTTAGTGTGAACCAGAATCCACAGAAATCGGAATAAAATCATAAACAAGCCCCTTGCTGTATACCTAGATCAGCTGGAAAAGTTGCTTCACCAGTAGCTGTGAAAAGCCAGAGCAGTGTCTTGTCTTCACTGATGTTGCTTTTTGTCCCTTCTGAATCAGAGGAGCAGGTTATTCCTTCCAGAGCAGCCCTCCTGGAGCAGGTCAAGAACCTCCAGCCCATCTTGGACAGTGCCAGTATCCTAGGTATGCATTTTCTTCTGCAAATTTGACCTGCAAGTGCCACCTGCCAAGCTGTTGCCTGTCCTGTTTTCTTTTTTTTTCTTGAGCCTCAGACTTGAGGACAGCTAACCTCACAGCCTGGTGTGAGTAAAGTAGGTACAAATGAAGTATGTCTGCTCCTCCCTCCTGCTGCTCTGACATCCCCTGCAAGGTCAAGGAGGTGAGAGAGTAGGTCGGGAAGCAGGTTAGAGCGGCTTGGCAGAGAGAGTGGAGACTGGTGGCTGAGCGCTGTGTACGGTCAGCGGGCTGTGGAGCCACTCCTTCCTACAAGCTCTGTGACGCCCAGAGCATCTCTGCTCTTGGTGTAAATGGCTGTTTAATCACTTGCCCTGACATTCATCCAGGTAGTTTACGCTGATGTGGTTCTCACCACGGGCATCCCGTAACTCATGCCATGTAGAAGCAGTTTGCAAGTAAACTTGGTATTTAATGTGGAGGCTAGCTAGGGGGTTTGTGTGGTGTAGAAGACGTGTTTGTGGCGTGTGGCGCTTGCACTCAGCGAGCAGAGCTCTGCTGTGATGTGCTCATGGAGAAGGAATGGTCTTTATCTTGGTAACTAATCCCACGTGACGCAAAGCAAACGAAACGGATTTCTCTTTTGTGCTTTCAGCGGTTCCGGACCATGCAGCCAAACTGCAGCGACTCTCTCAGATCCACATACAGCAGCAGGTAGCGTGAACCGTCTTGACTGGCAGGGGGGAGGAACTGTTTGTTAGTGGCTGTACTGACAGCTCTGTACTTGCAATGGCTTGAAATGCTCGTTTAGAGCAGGCTTGTTTGTACATCTTGTCCGGGATATTCATGCTGCAGTTTAGAGACGCGTGAGCACCTGGGGGAGGGGGTTGGGGGGGGAAAATAGCCAGGATCTCTGACAATTGAGTAGGAACTGGAAAAGCGCTTTGGCTGCCGTAAGCCTGTCTGAAATAGAGGTTGGAGTGGTGCTTCAGCAGCAGTGGGTTTAACCAGCTGGCATTCCCCGTGCACTGGGCCACTGAGGTGTTGCACCCTTCCAGTATCCCCGTCTCTGGAAGGCTGTTGATCCTGTCACCCTGTCTCTTCAAACCTCTCCTTCCCCCTTTGCCTGCTCCTCGAGCTGGTGATGAGTTGCCTGGGCAGCGCCTAATGCCCCCGTTCAGCATTTTGCTGTGAGTTTCCCTCCTGGAGCAAGCGAAGTGTGGATGCTGAGGAGAGGCAGGCAGTGACGCTAGCCCAGGGGCTTTGGGGCTTGGCGAGCTGGCCTGCGTGTAACCTTTCTCTTGACTCTTGAAACGCTTCCAGCTGCAGTGAGTGGCCACAGCCAGGGTCTGAGCTCCAATCTCAGTGCTGGCCTTGGGTGTGTTGGCCCCTGTGCTGTCAGGGACTGGGAGGACAGATGTCCTTCAGCTGACATACTGCTCGCTCACTGTGGCTCCCCTCTTCGCAGGAACAGCGTCAAGATCTCACCGACAGTGTCAAGACGCTCCTCGAAGACTACAACAAAATGGTATCCTTTGAGCCTTGGGCCTGGCGCAGCAGAATCCCAGCGCTGAGACGCGTCCTAAAACCACAGCGGATGGGGAAGCTCTGCTCTTGTCTGCAGAAAGCCCCCGAGGTGCCTCCTGGACTGCTGTCAGTGCCTGGCGTGGCGCCGCGGCTCAGCGCCTGGCTCGCTCGGGTCCGTGCGGGCTTTCTGCGGCCCGGTGCCCTCCCACGGAGCGGGGATTGGAGCCGTGCCGCCTGGGGGCTCTGCCCTCGG